TCTTGTGTAACAAAGGGTTTAGGCTTTAATTACAGTTGAAGATTAATTAATAATAATTAGTCATTAATGATGATTTTGTTAACCTCTATATGTAGCTATAAGCAGAAGCTTGTTAGATAGAGGAAGATTGCACCGGAGGAGGGACCTTTCACTCTTAGGGATGATAGAGACCTCATCATAGAGGTAACTGAACATGATATTTAATTAAGTAAATCAATGAAATATCATTGTCAGATAACCATGTGTCAAGTTTTAGTTAATTATTGCAAAGAGCCTTTAGGGAGAAGGGCAAGGTAGAATGTGGATGGTAAGCATTTCATGTTCAACTTGATCATGTTTTGGATGATAGAGCTAAGGAGGTATATGATGTATTTAAGCATAATTGTATATGATGTATTTAAACATAATTTTGGCACATTTAGAATTGCCTTGCATTAATGTTGTGCTTGGCAGAAGAGTCCAACTAAGGGAATTATTTTTTATTAAATTCAAGATGTATGTTATTGCCTAAATTCCTTAAGGTTGAGAAAATCAGTGTTTACTTGGTTGAGAATTATCTGCTCATCATCATTGCTTTTGCAACAGTGTTTAACCAATTATGTAATTAATGACATGAAATGAATGTCATAGGTTTATTGTAAACTGTGAATGATTATAGAAAGATAATCATGCTTATTAGAGATGAAATGATTGACTGCTACATTTAGTTACATGCTATGTGCTATGAAATGTGAAATGTGGGCCTAAATGGGCTATGAATTTCTAATATTGATATGATGGATTGTATGTTTGGATTAACTGAATGTGTAGCCCACATGAATAATGAGATTATTAAGAAATGCTTAGTGGCATGAATTATGATAACATGTAAGCCTTATTAGTGATAAAAATGTTAATTTACTACAATATGCATGAGATAAATTTGCATATGATGAAATGGATTGCATGAATATGATGGGTAGGAGTTCACCTTAGAGTAGGGAAGACTATATTAGTAAAAGTCACGTGGTGCAGCCTCTATTGAATTTGGGCATGGTGGATGGCATATTATATTACTAATGTGCTTAGTATTGCCAATAGCTTGTGAGTATGGCATAGGCTGAGCATAAGGCTTAGTATCATTGACTCTAGACTAGGTGGTGTGGATCAGGCAATATGACACCCTAAAATTCAAGTAAAGGGAACCCATGATTTAAGAGTGAATGTGGAGACCTTGGCTAGGTTACCTTTCATAATTGGAGAGCAGGGTCAATTCAGTCATGTATACTGGGCCTATATGTTATATTAGTCTATGGGTTCAGTTAGATGATATAAGAAATGATATAAGGTGGTTGCATTAATCATAAAATATTATGACATAAATGAAGTCATGAGGATTTGATTTATATGATGTATTAGTTATTAATATCTTGTTTGTTGTATGGCGGATTATGCTTATGAGGAAGTAAGTACTTTAACCCCAACGAAAATGCTTACGTAAATTGTTATTTGAAAAAATAAAAGCTTTCAAGTAGTGTGTTGATTGATATTAAGTTTGTAAATGCCCTTTTATGCTATATTGATTGCCCCTGTACTGAATTGTTTGGTTACTGAGATTTTTATATCTCACAATTATATTAGTTGTACCTTACAAGTGTTCATAGGCAACGGGGGAAGGCATCGCATAAGTGAGGGACTAAGGTGTTAGTGTAAGGAGCTCTTAGTTCTTCTCATGTAAAGTACAAATGCATATTTGCTAACATTAGGATGTCCATAAAGTCCAGTAGCATTGATTTGCATACCTAAAGTATTGTATTAGGGCTAATTGGACTATTGAATATAGGCTAGATTTTGGTATCTCCAATTATAATGAGATTGACCTGTGGTTATGGATTTACTATAGTAAGATAAGTTAAGAATTATAAGAGGTTGAATTTTTTAGGGGAGGTACTTGTATATGTAAGTAGGGCTAAATTGCCCTCATTGACATTGACTGTTTTAGGATCTTTGTTTAGTATCAAAATGGGTTGTAGAGGGTGCCAGTAATCGAATAACTAAACCATTTGCGTGTGGAAACTTGGTTTATCATAAGCAGAGGTTTGAGTGGTTGTTGGTGTAAGATTAGGTTAAATGTTCTCACTGCTATTCATGTTGTTCATCACGATGAACGATGGAGGTAGCTACAACAAATTAGTCATGGTTGGCCATGACAAGTATATTTGTTGCCATTGGCTGCGATTAGCAATGGTGTTTTTTCAAGAAAAAAATGTTATTATTGTTTCCTATAATTTTATTGAATTTTGCTTTTAATTCTTATACTTTATTTTTAGTCCTTATAATCCATGTAATTTAACAATTTACGGACCTTAGAAACAAACATTACCTAATTTTATTAAAACTATAGGGACTGAAAACACTAAAAAAATATATATAAGCATTAAAAATAAAATCCGATGAAACTATAGAGATTAATGATTGTGTTTTTCCAAAAATAAAATTACAATTGTCTCCCTCTCCTCCAAGACATAAATATGGTTGAAGGATTTGTTTATCTCTCACATTTAATATTTTCTAAATTATGCTCTATTAATTGTACAATTTTTTTTATTTAAGAGGGGTGTTTATTTTGATAAGTTTAAGGGTATTTTAAGAAAAGTTACAATCATGTTTTTATGCAATAACAATAAATAATTAATCTAGCATATTTTCTTAATACGTGTGAATTAATTAAGTAGATCTTACACGCAGGACTGATGGGAATATCATTCTGTTTTCATGTTGATTCAATTAAACTATGTTTTCAGGTTTATTAGATTCTAGACCCGAGCCTGTATGAAGTTTGGAGCTGCATGAGAATAATTTGACTATTTATGGATTTTATAGTGTAAGATTAGAAGAAGGCCTGTATTTCTCACCAAATGGGGGGGGGGGGGGAGATTAAAGGCCCCTGCTTTGCATGGAGATGAACTGTATTGCTAATTACGCATAGAAATACATTACCCGCCGCGAAACATCTTTTAGATTACTAGAAGGAAACCAAAATCGTGGAAAAGCCACAATTTATAGTTAATCTAGATTATGGGCTCTTATTGAGGTGACTGGTGAGTATTGTAGAGGATTTATAAATGACAGATTTTTTTTTAATGAATTTAATCTGATGTTACAAGTAAAAATGTGGATCATATAATGTTAGCAAATAGCAGAGATAACACGGGAGAGGAATCTCTCCATTTCTTTATCTTCAAAATTATGTAATAAAATAATATAAATAATTGATATGAGAAAACAGAAAAAAACTGAAGATAAAAAAATGGAGAGACTCTCCACCCCAAATCAGACAGCGTTGCAGTTAAAAGGGCAGGCCTCCGTGGGGGACCATGTGTGGTTGGCCGCAGTGGAGCACATCGTATGAGCAGTGGCGGCGGCCAAGGCTCGCGTGCGATGTTGACAATGATGATTTAATTTTGCTGCTATTCTCGAGTCCTTGACTGCTGCCACTTATCCCATGTCTTTAATTTCCCTCTCACTTGTTTCCTAACAAACGCCTTCATCTCAAATCAACTTCATTTTCCTACATCATTTCTCACCATCAAACTTCAACTTTCACACACACACACACACACATTCTCCCCCGTTACCCAATATTTCAGTTCAAGATTCTTATATATCTCATCACTAAGGTGATAGAATTTAATGAATAAGTTACAGATCTGATTATGATTCTTATTACTTTATCATCTAAAAACAATCCCTCTAATGTCAGTGCAGGAACTCCTGGGAAGGTACTTCCTATCAATTACTCCACGAATAAAGTCCCACCACTAATTAATATGCTAAATCAATTTTTTTTTGGTTGCCTTTACAAATCGGCGCATTAATCAGTGCATCTCCATCCGCAACTTGTTTCTTCTTTTAGTTCTCTGTTTTCCATGCTAGGATTTCGCGCAATGCATGTTGTTGGGTTTCAAGTTCAGCTTGCATTGCATGTTTCTTCTTCTTGTATGTAGTTTTAATTTATTTGTTTGCTTTTTTAAAAAAAAAAAACTGAGAATGCTTTGCTTTTCCAAATCAATTCAGGTGAGAGTGCTTCCGCGCCCATATGAAGTTTCAGTGCTATATGCTTTCTTCTATTCACCTCAGCCTGGTCTCGTCACGTGGTAGCTTGGAAACACATTCTTCTACTGCAAGAAACTACTTTTATTTCTCTAACATGGGTCTGCTGGTCTCTTTGCCGTAAGAGCAACGCATAACGTTCGACGCAACGTCACTCATCACCTTTTTTTAATGGGATAAGCGAACCTGTGAATGTGATCCCCAGATCAGATAATTCTAGCCCGTTCAAAAATCTGTCCATTATGTGCAGCCATCGAGGAAGTAACTGGCACTTTGGGCCAATTTCTTGCTGGGCCAAGACAATTGGGTTCTTTTGGGCTCTTCCTCAATGAATATGGGCCTGAAAGAGCCCAGAGTATCATCCTGTTCAGATACTTTGTGCCGGGCAAGAGGTACTCTATCCAGAATCTAATCCAACCAAGCTATTGGGACGTGTCAAATCAGGATTTGTCATCTTCGGATGCCATAAGCCTCGGGCAGTACGAGCGACTGTACATCCTCGCCAACTGGCCGTATCTCCCGAGTTTATATTTGTGAACTGAGACCCGTGAAGGATTTTCATCCTCAGTTCGACGCTGACCAGTGTGTCTTTCGTCCCAGAATGCCACCACTTGACTATCCACACGTTCATCGCACAAACGCAACATTTTTTTAAACAAAATAGTTACTATGATAAGAAAATAACTCGAATTAAATCAAATTTGGGGGAGGAAAAAAAAAAAGGAAAACAAGAAACGAAAGAATACAAAGCCAATTAGTTGGAAACAAGCTTGAGCCGAAACAGATTGAGGGAAAGGAGAGGCCTCAAAAATTATGGATTGGGAAACTAAGAAACTAACGTATTATCACAATAGCCACATATGTTAGAGGAACACGTGGTCACTCTGGTTGCCTGTCATTAACTTGTATACCACATCCACCCCTCTGAAATTTAGGAGAATTTTCACGCTTGGTTTACTCTATAACATTCACTTCCTTGGATATTGAAATTGAAAGCGTTTATTCTGAGTAGAGAGTAAGCTGGTGTTCATTTTACTGAAGGATAATGGCTCAAACATTGCTGCTCATGTCCAGCGTTGGCACTAATTATTCTGTAGATTTGAAGAGGGACTCATCGCTCCAACTTCAAAGGCAAAGACTGAGGCCTCAGTTTTCTCATCCCCTGTTTAACCCAACTCCGTCTATCTCTTTCTCCTCCTTATCCAGTACACTTAAAACTTTTGCTCTTTTCAAATCGAAGACCAAAGCCCCCTCCAAGGTATTCATTTTCTTTTCAATTTTGAAAATTTCCATAATTAATCATGCCAAGCACTCTGATTTTCACTTCATTACAGGTTGCAAAGCCACAACCGAAGCCGAAGGTTGAGGATGGCGTCTTTGGCACCTCTGGAGGCTTTGGATTCACCAAGGAAAATGAGCTCTTTGTGGGTCGTGTTGCCATGATTGGTTTTGCGGTAAGTATCGTTTAATTTTGGCTTAAGATACCGTCAGCTTCCGCATAATATTTCTCTTTCCAAGTATAATTTTGAACATTATTGTGGTGTAAAGTTATGCTACGTTGAACCATAACAAAATTCTGCTAATTAGGAGATTTATTGAAACACTTCTGGAGCTATGGCAATTGTGTTCTTAAGTATCATAGAGATAGAACATCATGCATCACCGATTCATTCGCACTGTATTGCAGGCATCGTTGTTAGGGGAGGGAATAACAGGGAAAGGTATTCTAGCACAGTTGAATCTGGAGACTGGAATTCCCATATACGAAGCAGAACCCCTTCTGCTTTTCTTCATCCTTTTCACTCTTCTAGGAGCCATTGGAGCTCTGGGTGACCGTGGTAAATTTGTGGATGACCCCCCCGCTGGCCTTGAAGGAGCTGTCATTCCTCCGGGCAAAAGCTTGAGATCAGCCCTGGGTCTCAAAGAAGGAGGTCGGTTCATTAAAATTCTGATCCAGATTTCTATGTAGTCAATTATTAACATATCACGAGGGGTAATAAGTTGTTATATTTTGGTATCACTAGGTCCTCTATTTGGATTCACGAAAGCTAACGAGCTGTTTGTGGGAAGATTGGCTCAACTGGGTTTTGCTTTTTCCTTGATTGGAGAAATCATCACAGGGAAGGGAGCTCTGGCTCAGCTCAACATCGAGACTGGGGTTCCCATTAACGAGATCGAGCCACTCGTGCTGTTCAATGTCCTGTTCTTCTTCGTGGCTGCTTTGAATCCTGGAACTGGTAAATTCGTTACAGACGAGGATGAAGATTAGACGGTGACGGATGTTGTAAACCATGAAACTTAGTTCATCTTTTATGGTCAGTGAATTGGATTTCCTTAAAACATCGTTGTATATCCTCTGTTCTCTGATCTTATCTGGAACATTCGATGAAAATTTTCGGTGAAATGGCCATGAGTTCAGCTTTCGAGTTTTTGACAGTTTAATTTCACAGTCGGAGTGTGGAGTCTCTGTGATTTTGCTGCAGTAAATCCAGGATGTGTTGTGCTTTTTTGTGTGAGGCCGGGTCGTGCACAGGATTGGGATGAAAATGACGATCTGAGAGCATAAAATAGAGTATAATGGACCCCGATACGGTGATAATACTTTGCATGAATCGGAGTGAGTGAACGGCTTGACTTACGTGATTATACACTCGCACACATGCACACACAGCTAACGGCGCAATTCCGCGCAGACAGATTAATAAAAAAAATTTAATTTATTTATGGAAAATTTAAAATCTATAATTATTACTCCTTACTTTTTTAAAAAAAAAAAGAAATTTAATTGCTTTACAAATAGTTGATAGTTGATGATGTGTTTAATTTCAGCCAATAAATTTCATCAATTCGTTAAATATCCTTCTTTCCCTTGCTCACTCTCTCTCTCAATTAATTAAAAACATACTTTTCCAGTGATATTTTTGAAAAAAAAATATTAATTACAACATGAATTCTACAAAAAAAAATTAAAAATAAGAACAGCAAAGCCTTAAAAAAATGTTTCGTGAAAAAGAGAGGACGGAATAATATTTCGTAAAATATATTTTATCAATTTTAAATATTAACATATTTGATCAGTTTGTCCGCCAGATCAAATCATTTGCGTCAACCGTAGTCACTAAATATGTTTTTTTTTTTCCCTCATAGGCTGATTTGACTTTTGGTTTTTGGTAGACGGGAGGGTAAAGTCCAAAAGTATTAATTAACTAATTAGAAAGGGGCGATTGAGATTCCATAAAATCTTTGAGCACTAAATCCTTTACAAAGCAAGGAAATACTATGAAAAAAAAAAAAAAGGTGTTTAGCGCCTCTTTAGCGGCCACAATGTTATGAAGCCGTGAGATATGAAAAGTCCTAACCTCCCAATTGTCATTCAAAAGTTTTAAAGTTTCAAGGATTACAAGACTGTGGGAGAGCCCGCTAGGATCTAACTCAATAGTATCTATCAAGACTTTGTAGTCAGATTCAAGCATAACTTTTTAAAGCCTATGTCTTAAGCAAGTTGTAAGTCTTTTAGATAGACCCACGATTTAGCCTCTAACAAATTACACTGACTTATATTAAAAGAGAACCCAAAAATTCAAGTGCCTAGATGGTCTCTAATGACACCATCACATCCACTTTTTAAATTGATTAAGAATCTCTTTGGTTCAAAAAAACAAGAGAGGAGGAGAGATGAGGAGAGAGGAGAGGAGGGGAGGAGGCACCCTCCCAATTTGAAGGGGGAGGTTTTCGAGGGGAGAGGAGGGGGTCTCCTCTCCTCTCCTCCCTCCATCCAAACACACCTTAAAAAGATAGTGTGATATCTTAATTTTTAATTAAAAAAATAAATTGAAGATTTTTAAGATTTAAAATTTACTTTGAAGTGAAATTTAGGAATGAAAATACATTTGAGGTGAGCTTAAGGTTCATGACATGTTTAGGTAATTAATTATGAGTTTTGTTGGGTCAAAAACCTTGTAGAAGTGCTATATATGGTCTAAAATAGATAATTGGGTTGAACTAGGTCCAAAGAGGATAAAATTTGGCTTATGGAGGTTGTTTGTGGAGGAACACAAAATTTTGCTCGATAGCAAGATAGAGAAGCAAAATGCAAGCGTCTTGCTAAATAGTCGTCCACATGCGGACAAGATTTTGCTAGTCCTAACTGCACTTAGATGAGACCCTATTTAAGTGTCCTTATCCTGCAAAAACAAACAGAATGCTTGAGAGGGGCTGAAAATCATTGAGAGCTTCAAGTTTGCTTTGTTGTGGCACTAATTTTTAGTGGCTTGGAGGAGTTTTTAGGCCATGCAAGGTGCAGCCACTTGGGATAAGTTATATGTCCTCTAAGCTATCTGTCTACCTAAATTTCTCTAAGATCGAGGAAGTTTTAGTTTTTAAGGTTTGCCTATGGGAGCTTTAATTTGGAATTATGATGCTCTGTTATGGTTGAAATTTCTTTGATGTTGAAATTTGAATTTGGAGAATTTTGAGTTAAACTTTAGACTTAGGTGGTGACATTTTTTTTTGTGAAAATGAACTTGTGGGGTTAATTTTATATGTTTATTTAAGTATAGATAAGTGTTTCTAAGGTGTTAGAATGATGATATATATGATGCTTGAGGACTTTTTTTTTATTTTTGAGGTATTTTTGGGACAAATATTAAAGTTATGTGATGATAAAATATTGATGTTGGGATTAGTTTGGGGTATAATTAGAGCTTCTGAAAGTAAGAGGATGTTCGAAAGAATTTTTGGAAGGGTCAAAATAGGTATCAATCTTGATTTAGTACTTAGTATGGGTTAAGCCTAAACTTTCTAACTCTATAATTAGAGTCAAGTGTTGTTGTTAATTATAAAATTAATACTATATATTATTACATGGTTGTGTAAATCGTGCTAATTAAGAGATTGGAGGAAGTGGTGTTATGAAGGAAAATTTATTGTCTAAAGCACAAGATAATCATTTTAATGTATGACAGTGCGTGTAGGGGGTTGATTATGTGATGTTTTGTTGTTTTGGAAAAACTATGTTTTGTTGAGGAATATATTTTTTTTTTGTTCAAAAATTATTGCTAATAGGTGCATATTTTATAATTAAATAGGTATATATTTTTGTTTAGATTTGATTATATTTATTAATTTTTAATTAATATTTATATAATTTTCTCCTATCACTTAATGATAAGATAAAAAAATTAATATAAAATCTACTCATATCTTTTTTTTAATATTTTGCAAGAAAATAATATATCAAACAAAGAAAGAAAATGCAAAAGAAAAGAAATAATATATATATAAAAGGAACAGGGAGATGTACTGGGCGTGATTTTTATATTATATATATTAAAGTCTCATATTGATTATGAATAAGAGGAGAAGCTTCCACTTTAATTATAAATACTCTTATTTATTAAAAAAAGAGTTATCTAATCACTTATTTAAATACTTTAAAAATTCTCTTTAAAATATTTAGAACTCGTGAAAGCATTCTAAAGGAAAGTGAGATTGTTGGAGAGTTTTACAAATTATAATTATTTCTTTTGTACTCCTTAATTTTCTCTATGATCATTTTTCATAATAAAGGATTTTAGAACAATGTTATTTGATTTTATTATATGTTTTTAAATTATCAAGTTGGGGTAGAGATGTAGCTCAATTGAGAAGCTAGTTTTATTATTTGTTTTGACTTTTTATATTTATATTTATAAATATTTTTACTTTTTCCAACTATATTTATTTTTCTTGTTCTTCATATTGATTTTATGATTGGCAACCATATAATCAAATTTATGGGTAATTTTAATGAACTGAGGTGAAGAAATAACTTAAATCTAGAGAAATAAACATAAATAACTAGGTTAGGAATAGTTTTAAAAATTTATGATAACTTAAACTATAGTTTCATGGTTTAATTAGTTGATTAGGTATTATGAGAATGAATTTAATACTAATTAAAAAGGGATTAATAATTCAGGAGAATGTTAAAATACTTTAAGAATAGTTATCACTATACTTGATTAAAGTGTCAACTCAAAGGATAAAAACTAATAACTTATAAGATGAATCCTAAACCTAACACTTCAAGTAATTGTATTTTCCTCAACATTAATTTCTTGCTTTATTTTTATTATTTATATCATCATCAAACAATTCATTTTATCTATTTTTCTTGAACTATTAATTATTTAAATGAGTAAAAATGCAACTTCTTGGTGGGTTCGACACTTAAAATACTTCAGGTAACTTATTACTATGATCTTATACACTTGCAGGAGCAATCAGTTGCCAAGTGGGTAGATTTGTACATAATACTGTGTTGCTCTAAGCATTGTTGTAAGCATGAAATAAAAATGTATGGTTATATTTTGTTCGATTGTTGTAAGAATATGCATAATGCTTTTGTCTAGTTGTTATAAAATATATATGACTTGTCAGGTTGTTTTGAAACATGATATTATTGGGATTTTGTTTGGAGTTGATTTTATGATGTGATAAGCCATCATTGGATCAAATGAGCAACTAATAGCTTGATCCAATCTGTAATATCCACCTTGACATTACCAAAATTTATCACATAATCATAAAAACAATCATAATTAGGAGTAAGGATTGTTCCTAAGCTCACATTATTTTGTATAAAGGTTAAAACTAATAATATTTTAAAAATAATTGTGAAATATTTGGGATCCCTTAAAAACCTTTTAAATTGATAGTTTGAGCTCAAACTTAATGATTTATAAAGGTATTGGAAGTATGAAAAAGTTTTGGGAAGCAACACACTTCAAAACAGGGCCAAAATTATCATTTTTAAGTGTTTTGGTCCATATGTCACGGCTCGTGGTTCATATGCCGTGGCATGTGGCACAGAAATCTAAATTTTCTCATTGTACCATGCATCGCGGCTTGTGCAAAATGTGTCGCGGCGCACGTGTCCATGACAACAATGCTGTCATGACGGCTTTTCTAGATGAACTTCGAATGCGCGCCATTTTCGCATCCGATGTTTGATTAGAGTGATTCAAGCACCCACGCGAAGCTTATTCGATAAGCTAACTAATGGTATAAGTCTCATTATGATCCAACACCATATGAGAATTTTAAATGCTCGGATACAAAAGTCAATTTTTAAAGTGATTTTCAAGCATTCAAGTACCCAAAACTCATAACTTATACTCTTAACCCATTGTAAGGCTTGAACCAAGTTCAATGGATCAAAATACACTTGAGTGAACATTCAAACACACAAAAACATACCAAATACAAAATTTGGCCACTCAATAGCCCTTTTGCCCAAAATGGCCAGAATACACAATTAATACTTCAAGCACTATTTGGTATCTATTGCCACATAATATATTACAAATACATTGTCACCACATAGATAAAATATTCCTTACACTTGTATCAGTATTTTAGCCCATCACAATAAAAATTACCACATATTCACATCATATACA